GTAGAGCTGCTGGTAGTACTGGGGATATTCCAGGCCGTGTCCAAGCATGAGGAGGAAGATGCCGTGCAACGCCAGCACAGCAACAAGGCCACCACTAGAAAAGCAGCCGCTCAAGTGTCGGCGACAACAAGCGGGTTGGTAAGGTGCGGCAAAATGACGTCGCCTATGCGATGCAGTATGTGCAGATGGAGAGCAGCAGCCGCAGCGTGGTGTAGACAAGGCAGCCACAGTGCGGTGAAGTAGTGCCGGTGGGCACGCTCGGAGAAGACGGAGAGAACAGATGTCATCAACGCCTTCCTCCGCTCGGCAGCGTTGGAATGCACATACGAATCGCTCGCCTCAAATTTAGATCGTTCCTTTTTCAGGAACCCCCATTGAAGGCGAAGCTTCGACAGGTCCGGAATCACGCGGCCGTAGAAAAGCACAAAGACGTTCACAACAATTGCAGATATCGCCGTGTCACCATTACGCCCGCGTTTCTTCGCTGAACGCTCGACAAATGTTGCGGTGGCCCGGAACAAAAAAAACCACACGTCGTCCCCCGCATTGGCAGCACGCAGTGCCTCGCGCAGTTCTGCCACCCGCGGACTGCACTCGTCCGGACTCACGTGATCCCGCACCGGTCGCACCAACGCGGCGCTCAGACAATTCTCCAGCAGTGGACGCACCGTCGCATCGAAGCGCCCGCACAGCTCCTGGTACGTCGCGCACTGCCCACAGCGCTTTAGTGCCGCGGTGATTTTCGCGTTCATCTTGTCCCCCTGGCCGCTTTCTGCTGCAGTCACTCTATTTCTCTTCCTCGTCCTACGGAGAAAACCTTAATAATAAAAAACAAAGACATCACCACCCAACACAACAAAACGTAATGAAATAAATGAGAAAATGCCATCAAAATTCAACACTGCATTCAAACTGTCATGTAAAAGAAAAAAACAGACGATGACCACCTCACAATAACAACAACAACAAAAAGACGGATTTTTTTTTTCTTGTCAATCCTCTTTCTGATTTACTTCAAGGTGAAGGCCTTTATTTTATGTTGTTTTTTTCTTCTTGTCCTCTTACCTCCGTCGCGGTGAATGCCTCCACCTCACTCGGTGGGCAGTTTCAGAAACTCTGCGATATCTCCCGGACAGGCGTTCGGCTCAATGTCAAGCCGCGTCAGTTGCGCCACAACAACCGTCACGTCGTCCTGCTTCCCGCCAGTGTAACGGTACCCCATCGCCCTTGCGTTTTTTGCAAAGGGTGAATCAAATTTCTCATCAGCCCCATTTTTACAGGCCTCCTCAACTAAAGTCTCCGCAACACGCTGGCAGCCTTCACGCCCAACGTTCTCTAAACGCCGCAGGATATCTGACATTTCGACATTGTCTAGCAAGCCGTCACTCGCACAAAGGAACACGTCGCCCTCGCTCACTTCAAGAGTTGTACGGTCCCCGGCAGAAGGCGGATCCTCCGGGAGTTGGTACGGGCAGTTAAACCTGTGCTGCTGCGCCTCGGTGGCAAAGAATAGCTTGGAACTCCGCAGACATATCGTGCCGCAGTCGCCAAGGTTCAGCACGGATGCAAAACGCCCATCAACGAGAGTCACGAGTGACACCGGACACCCGCCAGGTTTACCTCTTTTTTGTGTTTCTGCAAACCCATAATTGAGAGCCTCCAGGGCGCTGATGGTGCCACGATTTTGATCCTTCTCCAAGGCCTGTCGGGTGAACCTCATAATATTCCTCGTGAATACGGCGGGATCGACGCCGATTCGTGCGTACCCGCCAACACCGTCAGCCACACCGATACCGCTCGTGTGCACCAAAAACGCATCCTCACCGCCATTCTTCGCCTTTGACGGGTGTGGCACCGCAAATGCACCGCGGCGCCCGAACCACAAGAGTGGCTGAACCGATGCGGCAGAGAAGAGCCGGCGCGAGCATGCAAACATCATCCTGACATGCAGGAGGAAAAAGGCAAAAAGAGAGTTTAAAAGGGGGATCCTCTCGGCATCGAGAGGAAAGAAAAAAAAAAAAGGCCAGTAAAAAAAAATGACTAAGGTCTGGTATGCCCCCTCACCAACTGGGCGCAACTGCAGGCAAGAGCAACTGCTATTCCGTTGCCTCCCTCAACAATTCGAGGCATTTTGGGCTCCACGGTAAATCCCGCCCACTTCCTTCAATAGAGTTATTTCCTTTTTGTTTGCTTGTACATCACTTGTACCGCCCTTCTTTCGTCGTGCCGTCCGCAAAGGTCGTCACGCGCACACCATCCACGCGGTCGAGGATGGAAGTCTTGTTCGGGTACTCATAAAGCGTACTGCCATCCGCAAACACTGTGGTGGTTAGATCACTCTTCTTGAATACTCTGGTCCCATCGGGCCGCAGTAGTGTCAAATCACCATTTTTATACGCATATTGCCATGTGCCGTCCTCTAGCTGTGTACAGTGGGGATCTTGATTGGCTGTGCCAACACCGGCCGTTTCCTCTTCCTCTTTCCTAGGTTCTTTTGTTGTCTGCGTGGATGCCTTTAAATCCCGAGATGCCTTTTCAGGGACTGCATCGCTGCCTGCTACCGTAATTTCAACTGTGTCCGACGTAAGAATGGTGGCGCCACTGTCGCGTAATTTACTCATCTCTGCCAGAGCCGCCTCTCGCTCCATCTTTGTACGCTGAGCTTGGACTTTCCTCTCCCGCTCGGCCGACTCGTAGTAACTCTCTGCTTGTTTCCATTGCTGCAGGACAAAACCCCAGTTCATCTTTAGCACGGCCTCCTGGGCAACCTGAGCACGGATCGAAGAAAGACTCCCATCTAGGCCGTCGACCGTGTCGGTAACCGCGGCAGCCATCGCTGCCACAGTTGCGGTTGATGCTTCTGCAACAAGTGGGTTGCGGGCCGCACGAGACCACGGCGCCGGGGAGGACTCTGCAGCACTCGTTTTTGTCCTCGCCCCAATCGCTGACAGTAGCCTGCTCTCAGTCATGTTAATAACAGCCAGCGGCCAAAGCCCAAGCACCAGCGGCACACGGTTGGCCGGAAAGTTTACCACCACAAGACGGTGACCCTCAGGCCGTTCCTTGTCGTACACCAGCCACGTCCATCCGGGCTCCCGCCGGCTCGTTGCGTACATCACAAATTCATCCGTAAAATGCGTAAACAACCCAAACTGCCCTGCAGCAATGCTTTCCCACTCCGCTGGCATACCCCCACCACCCTGTGAACACTTTTCCTCAAGATGCATGCAGAAGTGCTCGCTCGAAAGAAAATGGACGCGCCGTTTGAGACACGCCCGACAAGGATGCCTCAGAAAGGCACTGTGTTCCGCCAGCGCAGTAAGTGGAAGCGCGTGCGCCATCACGGGGCAGTCAGGCAAATGCACATCGTTTCTTCTGGAAGTGTGGCCGCTGGCCACAATGAGTTGTGCCGCGGACACATTCACCCCCTTCGCGATGGGTGGATCGAGCAGCGGAAGAAGAACCGGGACAAGTTTTTGCAGCTCACTTGCCACAAGTGCTGCCCTCCCCGCTGTCACACACAACAAAGCTGAAGTTATCCCCAACATTCCCGCAGCGCGTGAGAACGTCCCAGTCTTAGCTTTATTCACTTCGTGTAGGTCCCTTCCCTGTGCCGAGAAACGACCTCTCACTCTCCTCAAGGAAGAAGATGCCAAGCGCCAGCGACATCACAACAACAAAAAAAGACAAAATGGCTCAAGCGCAAAAAAGAAAAGGTGAGTATAAATGAAAACGAATAAATAAATAACAAGCGTAAGAAATGAAAATCTCCCACCCATGACGCACCACTTCTATTACCATTTCTGGTTCTTCCGCAGTCGCCTCGAATGTTCCGTGCACAACGTGTAAAGCGGCGGCATTATTGGCAACGGTAATATTGGCTGTGATAATGAAAAAGAGATCAAGGATACCAACAGCTATTACAGAAAGAGTTAATCTTGATGGAAATAACGCCATTCAACCTTCTCTTTGTTCTTCCTTAACTTACCCTGTGTATTGTACGTTTTTCCGTACATGGTGGATGCTTTTCGGAGCGTCTTATCGACAAGGGACGCGGCATTATGGCTACGTGTTCGCACTTTGGAAAGAAGGGCCTTACCCACACTGTCATCCCGAATCTGATGTCCAACGTAAAGTTCCAACCATCGCAACGCATTTTCGACGGTCATGTTATTGGCAAGCCGTAGAACAGTTCTTCCTACCACTCTAAAAAAGACGTTAGGAAGCTCTGGCACATTTGATGCCGCCTCGAGAAAGCGCATCAACGTGTTCTCATCCGCAGTTTGCAACGTGGCGGCACCGGAGCGACACACCGCTGCGAGTGCCTCTTTGTCATCCGCAACGTTAACAAAGGCTCGCCATACATCTTCAACCTCCAGATCTCCCGCTGCAATCGGAGGACGAGACCTCAACGTTGCTGCAATCGCGGCCGTTTTCTCCCTGTCCTCATTTGAAATGGAAAGAAGTAGGAATAAATCGAGCGTCGACAATTCTTCTGGACGTGCCTGGGAAAGTACTTCTGCTCCTGGCAGGGCCAAAAAGGCTTTACGCTGCTTTTCGCTACACGTACATGCCACCAATACAATGTCTGACAAGCTCCAGCCTTCAATCGAAGTGACATGTTCTACCAGCACAGATTGCTCAAAATATGGAACGAATTTTAGCTTCCGCGCAGTTAATGCCGTCGAAGTAATACTCTCGTGGTCGGGCGAAATTTGAGACAAATGAGAAAGAAGTGCGCGAAACATAAGAACGTCACGGGATTTAAGCGCCACTAACACTTCACAAAGAGTCCTCACATGGATGGGTGTCATGGAGCCAATGGCTTTTGAAAGCCGGGTCAGTAGAAGCGTTGTTAATCCTCTGTCATCTACCCCAAGATGCACAAGCAATTTCAGAATATGCATGGCGTCTTCCATTTTTATCCCCTCCGGGCGCTGCTGCTGCTGCTGCTGCTCTATTGCGTCACGCAACACTGCATACACCTTTGACTCCACTGAGAGTCTCCCCCCTTTCGCGACATTAAAGGACTCTAATACCATCGTCACCGTAGGAATGGAAAGAAGGTTCCCATGATAAGCCTTATGTTTGCGGCGATCAAACTTACGCGTAGCGGCAAAACGATTCAGTAACTCATTGAAGAAAATGCCATCCACTGCTTCCCCTGCACGGGCAGCCGCATAGAGCAAATAGGCGATGTCTTCTTGAGTAAAAGTAGAAGGAGTGTTCTGAAGAAAGGAATTTTTGCAGTGCGATACAAGTTCAGGAGGAAAGAGTTGCAAATCCCGCATACACCGAAGAAGAATTTGCGTCATGGATGGCGAAGAAATCTTTTCAGTGCCTTTTAGCTGGTCCACAAACCGCAAAAGCAACTTAGTAGCCTCTGACGGCGCAATCAGTGACATACCACGAAGCTGCAACAACAAGGCATCGTCGTATCTATCGGATGCTCCCTTGCCAAGCGAAGTTTTGGAACAAAGGAGCCTCTGAAGCTCTTTTCGCAGACAAGGCGCCGCGTTTGGCATGACGGTAAGGCTCCTACAACAGCCTAGCATGTCCTCCGGTGACATGTCGGGGAGAACACGCAGCAGTAGGTCCTCAAACATTTTGCTGAGATGTCCCGACCGCGCGCTTGTCACTGCGCGTAGAATAGCAATAGCATGTGACGCACTGACGCTGCCGAGCGGTTTCCCACAAATTGCCACCTGTAGAGCGTCTAGCCACTCTGCGTCAGTAGAGTGGTGTGCCAAGATGCCCTCTGCCACCGTTATCATTTGTTCAGGGCTAAGATTGCCACCGCGTGTTAGGGAAAGGATGAGCTCTCGAAGCACTGCAAGACTTTCCCCTTGAAGAGGAACCCCTAACTGCGCGCACAGGCACACCGCCTGACAGTCATTGCTCCGTTCAATGCGCTGTGCCGTTAATAACGCGAGTTGCTGTGACACGGCTACAGCGGCCCCACGCGTCGCATGCTGAGATGAATGTGACTGAAGCATAGGGAGCAGAGAACGCCAGACGACAGCACAAAAAGTCACGTGCTCTTCTAGCGTAAGCCCCTCCAGCAGCTCCTCAACTCGACCAGAAAACCAAGGCTGCTCAAATACAACACGTGACCAAAGCGGACCTGAGTTGGGCTGCTCATTCAGTCGCTTGACAATTTCCAGCAAATTTTCGCGTGTCAGCTGCTCCGATAACCTGGAAAGAAACTGGCCCACTTTTGTCTCCAGATGACTTCCTGCCGGATACGAGACACGATGCATAAAATACACGAGGTCTGTCGCATCTTCAACCTCCTCAATTGCGTCCTCAAGCTTCAAATCGTACAGGTAAGACCGTGCCTGCTGTAGCTTTCGCGGCTCACTCGACGCGGCGGCAATCCAGCCTTGAATGAGCTCCGAATGGACTCGCCACGCACGTGAAGCCCAATAAGAAAAAGTCCTTCGCATTCCTCCCGCTGGGGTGTATTTGACGTTGCTGCTGTTGCTATTTCTCTTCCTTCCTTCTTTGCTTTTTCTTTCCTACTTCTCCTGTTGTTGCTTTGGGGAGGAGAGGGTTCCACCTGCCTAATGGGTAGTTAGCACAGCACCCCGACGCCCTTTCTCTCCGTCCACACGGTAGAGCGGCAGTCGCTACCGTTTCTCTTACAATTCCTTGTTTGGGAAAGAAATCAAAAAAAAACATAAAAAAACGTTGGGCCTCGTTAAGAGCAGAGACAAAATTAATAAAGGCGGCAAATAATAGGATGATCTCGCATGTCACTTTATTTGCACCCACTCCACCACGCCCTTCAACGCCAAACCTCACTAGTCCTCCTTGTGCCGCTTCACTTTATCCCGCATAAAACTCGGTAGGCCATGTGGTTGCGGTGCAAATCTCTGGCGCGGGCTATGTTTCGCCCTTATTGCACCTTGCACAGCGTAGACCCCTGCCAATACCGCCAAGACGTTGAGGCCAAGGAGTATAGCGGAGAAAGCCAAGTCGAGCATCATGACATACGTCTGTAACCACATGTAATAAATGGCCCCCACCGCAGCCACAAGTAAGAGGCCAATGGCCAGACATGATGTGCCCACTTCCTCCGCAAGATTCCCACGTGTACCAAGAGACAAAGCGGCAAAATCTATGACGAGCAGCAAAAGTGCTGAAACAATTTCCATTGGTAGCGCTGCAGGAGGAAACTGCAGCGTGCTCCCCTGTAGATGAGGAG